ACTCTAACCAACCTTGTTTATGTTCTCTTGGAATTTCAACATAATGGTGAAATCATTTATAGGAGGGAGAGGATGGTGAGGAAGTCATAAAGGGCAGCGGTTGCGGTCGATATCAACCTTTATATCGCCGTACTGGAATCGACCTTAATGCTGTGTGGAAGAAAAATGTGAACGAAGACACACAGGTAACTTCATTCCCCAGATTTTTTTTCCATGTATGATATGTTTCAATTCTTCGTCATTCGTTTGCCTGTTCCGCGTATGAAATCAACTGTGATTCCTTCTTTATTATCTCTCAATTACACCTGACAGCGAAGTACTGGGTAGTTACGGCGGTAAAGAGGCCTCATTCATAGCGTTTCGAAAGTGAATAGATAAATATTGAAGTCAGGTCCTTTACATAGGCGAAAATACAGTAAATACCTTTGAAGGCGAAGGCTTACCCTATACGACTAGGAATGTCATTCGTAATTCGCTGTCGTTAGTGTGAAACAGCCTAAATGCTGAATTATCTTCGGTTCCAACAAAATATAGAGGGAGGATATTGGCTACTTCACCATTGATAAGGAGAAGGCAGGTGTAGAAGTGCCCGAAACGCCGAGTCGCAAGGTATGAGCGCACCCTCACAAAGTTTACCGTGTGATGCACTCGACAGGTTATTTTGGCAAAGGTTCAACAGTAATAGCCTGGAAGTATTACGGCTTAATATAAATTCAGAATGTCTTATTGTATAGAGAGTTTGGTTCAATCAGATCGCTGACGTATAGAAGTTGTGTCTTTTCAGGAGCGTATATTGAGCCTGAACTCTAGGCTTACAAGGGAAGGATGGTAGGTCGAAGTGGCCATTTGAAATGAAATGTATACCGGCTGAAAGGTCTTCGGACGGGAATTACGAAACCGTCTTCCATATCTGCTGCGGACCTCCCAGAAAGAAAATACGGAGCTTTTCTGGGGGAGAAACACTACAAATTGGCGGCGTAAGGCTGTCCAGATCGTGGCAGCATGGCCGAGTGGGTACGTCGTAGGGCTCACGGATGCGTGGTCGAGGGTTTGAATCCTTGATGCGTGTGCTCTTTTGCATTTTTTCGAAAGTGGCCCCTGTGCACTTCAAAGCCATTTTGCATAACACTTGTCCATGATAACGTCGTGATGTAATGATTCTGAACTGATGGAGCCATTCAATAGAAATCACTTCTAGCTATTGTCTTCCTCTCTTTGATTTGAAGAGCATATACAACAAAAGTGCACTCCAAAGAAAGATTTTGCCTTCAAATGAATTTATTCTCCAAACGACATGACCGGAAAACGAATCCGAAGTTGTGCAGGAAGATGATTATAGTGGGGAAAATGCTTCCATATGAAGTGGCGTTGATGTGGCAATCATGCTGGAGATCGCGATGGGCAAGAGCTTCATTCACCAGTGGCATAATGTTGAATTATGTCTATCTCAAAGAGTTTTCGTATCTGCTGGAGTTTTCGGCTCGTATGACAATCTTTTCAGCCGGAGGTGATCTCCATGAAATCGTTCGCAATGGCTCCATCAGTTCAGAATCATTACATCACGACATTATCATGGACAAGTGTTATGCAAAATAGCTTTGAAGTGCACAGGGACCACTTTCGAAAAAATGCAAAAGAGCACACGCATCAAGGATCCAAACCGACGACGCATCCGTGAGCCCTACGACGTATCCACTCGGCCATGCTGCCACGATCTCGATAGCCTTACGCCGCCAATTTGTAGTGATTCTCCCCAAAAAAAGCTTCCGTAACTTCTTTCTGGGAGGTCCGCAGCAGATATGGAACACGGTTTCGTAATTCCCGTCCGAAGACCTTTCAGCCGGTATACATTTCATTTCAAATGGCCACTTCGACCTACCATCCTTCCCTTGTTAGAGACATTTTGTGTATGATTTTGAATATGACAACGACGAGCTGAAAATGGGAGGACACTGGGGAAATAGGTTCAGTATTATTTTGAGGTAATTACTCACAATGATTGTTGCTCCTACCAATTTCTCTTGTAAGCTCTGCGTTATTAAGGAGTATACCGCCCGAGCACCAAAGTGTTCTGGACAGTCGTTTGAAAGAATTAGAAGAAAATGGATTTATAAATTTTTTTTTGGTACAGTGTTTACTTGTCTGTTTTCACTTGAAGGTTTCTTGTGGTGGAATTGCTTTTTATCCAGGGATGCAACGTTTCGGTTCCTGCGGTACAAGTACAGCCGAGGTGGGTAAACATATATTGAAAAGGAATTGGGAAGCTGCTGTGGCGCTCATTCTCAGCAATGATAATCTACCTGGTGAGGTTCTTTTTGCTGGTACTCTGTAGCGTTATTACCTTCACACTTACTATTTTGACAGTGTACCATCTCTGTCTGATATCTGACCAGTAATAGAAAAGTAAATGGAATTCTTAAACTTTCGTGCTCAAGTTTCAACTCAGGGTACCTTGGCACCGTGGGGGATGCTCTCCGATGCTGGAAAGAAACAAAGGATGCGTCGAAGGCACTTCGATTCTTGAAGGGAAGCCAAGCATATGCATCAATAGAAGCCATCATATTCAAGTGCCTTGCCAAGGGTGGAACGTGGCAGAAGGTAAACTGTCCAATTTACTTCTGCTTTTGATCCTACTGTCTGTACTTCCTCTAGTTCCAAATCATTCGAAATGATGCTCTTTCCTTTGATCCCTCTCTTGTTTTCTGAGATGGGGGTGGGGGGGGCGTGGCGAAGAGACTAAGGATGTGTCTTTACCTAGCAGACGAGTGGATGCACACTCGCGTTTTTCTTTTTCGCTAACGGGATCTGCTATTTTGGCTACAATGACCAGTGCCAATCCAAAATGCCGACCAAACTTAATCA